GGACTGTAAAATGGCCAAAAACAAAAGCATGGTAGGCTGCCGTTGCATGCAAGAATTGGGAAGAAAAGAGGAGTATAAAGGTAAGTACAACATGGAAGTCCCAAATGGTGTTGAGCCCTTCTTCAATGTTGAAGAGGGGCTCAAAATAAGCCTTATATCAGTTTACAACATGCTTGAAAATAAATTTCTCATTTGCCAAAAATAGCATGCAAGATTATGACATATAAGAGGATCAATGAAGCAAGTGCATCATGGAGGGCTCAAACAGGGTTGAGCCCTTAATGAAGAATGAAAATGAGCTCAAAAGAAGGCCAATTTCAGTTAGGGCCGGAGCTTGAAACAAAAAGCATGTGGGGCTTACAAATGGATCAAGAAAAAGGGTCAAAGAGGAGAAATATCACTCACCCTTGAAGACTAAAGCTTTTGTTGCTTCTTAGACGAATTTGCAGCTCCTTTAGCCTTTGAGAAGCCCTCCTTGTTGCTGGAAATGAAGTGGTGATGGTAGAGCTTGGTGGTGTAGAAGAAATGGTGCTTAGGGACTTAGAAATTTTCAAAGAAATGAGAGGTATGGAGATGGCTTTGTGTATGGAAGCTTGAAGACCAAATTTTCTAACCCTTGAATGTGATATAGCTTGCTTGTTATATGGGCCAAAGAGGGGGTGTAAAGGTGGGGGAAAAGGAGAGCAACTTTCTCTCACAAAATATCCCCCGGATAAAGATCTTTTCTGGGGGATAAAGCTCCACAGCTGTAAAGTGCACAGTGCAAGGAGCTCGGCCGGCCTATTACTTTTGCTGCAGGTGGTCGGCTGGCCACACCCCCTAGCCGGCCGGCTAGGGGTCAAAAGGGTCAATCTGATTTAGTGGCCGGCCACCAACTGATGGTGTCCTCCTATCTCCGGCTAGGGGGTCAAAAGGGTCAATCTGATTTAGTGGTCGGCCACCAACTGATGGTGTCCTCCTATCTGTGTACAACACAACCCTGTGGTTAAAAGTCCAAGAAACTGGGTCCAAGGGGTTCAACATTAGCCCAGAAGGAGGGGGTCAAAAGGGTCAAGTAACATTAATGGCCGGCCACCAACTGATAGGGTCCTCTCATGTGTGTACATCACAAATATGTGGTTCAAAGTTCGAGAAAATTGGTCCAAGGGGTTCAACATTAACCCGGAAGGAGGGGGTCAAAAGGGTCAGGTGGAATTATTGGCCGCTTCTGCATTAATTATCAAAGTAAGGCTGGAACATTTTAATAAAGGACTCACATTCTCTTCAGTCTATATGTGAATTGGATCATATTGTTCAGGTTCATGGAATCCATCACGGATCTTGTTTCAATAATCCATATCATTCAATATGTAAAGCTCGTGGAGTATTTCATTCTTACAAAAAAATCTTATTAATCAGATACCAATAGCTACTTGATTGTATTAGATTTCTGTCAACAATTTATTTTGAAAATTATATTTTCTGTTAATAGAAATATAATTTGATCAAATAGCTATCAATATCCGATCAAAGTGAGCTTTCATAGGAATGAAATACTCAGCAAGTTCTACATATTGGACGGTTTGAATTATCGAAACAGAATTTGTGATGAATCTCCACAAACCCAACAAAACATTGATTGGATTATTACCTCTGGAGAGAAACCTACCCTTTAAAGATAAACGGTTAATAAGACTTCAACCAATATATATGGCTGCGTCACATATAAGACACTAGTGTTTAGGGGAGTAAATTTGGCTCAACCCGACCCACCTAGACCCCGGCTTGGGTTGGCCCATGTCAAGTGTTGCGGGCTCCCGTGAAGATTCTGGTCAGACTAGCCCACGGGCCAAAAAATTAGGCCCAGGCCCAGGGGGTATTCAGGCCTTAGGGAGGCTAGGCTAGGTTGGTGGGCCTGGGCTTGGGACGATCGCCTAGGCACGAGAGACTTGTGGCAAAAGACGAGACTCAAATCAGGTTCCCGATTTGGGAGTTAGAGCCAGAGTTACAAACTAGTTTCTTAAGAAACTTAGAATTTGAGGTGTTAATGCCTTAAAATCACCAAACGGTGTCGGAGTAGCACGAAACTTGGCACACACGACCGCCTATGCACGAGTGACTTGTGGGAGAAGACAGGACTTGAATCGGGTTTTCGGTTTGAGAGTTAGGGTCGGATTTCATTCTAGGCAAATTAATTTCTTAAGAAATTTAGAATTCAAGGTGTTAACGCCCCAAAATCACCAAACGGCATTGGAGTAGTATGAAACTTGGCACACACGACTATCTAGGCACGAGAGACTTGTGGCAAAAGACGAGACTCAAATCAGGTTCCCGATTTGGGAGTTAGAGCCAGAGTTACAAACTAGTTTCTTAAGAAACTTAGAATTTGAGGTGTTAATGCCTTAAAATCACCAAACGGTGTCGGAGTAGCACGAAACTTGGCACACACGACCGCCTATGCACGAGTGACTTGTGGGAGAAGACAGGACTTGAATCGGGTTTTCGGTTTGAGAGTTAGGGTCGGATTTCATTCTAGGCAAATTAATTTCTTAAGAAATTTAGAATTCAAGGTGTTAACGCCCCAAAATCACCAAACGGCATTGGAGTAGTATGAAACTTGGCACACACGACTATCTAGGCACGAGAGACTTGTGGCAAAAGACGAGACTCAAATCAGGTTCCCGATTTGGGAGTTAGAGCCAGAGTTACAAACTAGTTTCTTAAGAAACTTAGAATTTGAGGTGTTAATGCCTTAAAATCACCAAACGGTGTCGGAGTAGCACGAAACTTGGCACACACGACCGCCTATGCACGAGTGACTTGTGGGAGAAGACAGGACTTGAATCGGGTTTTCGGTTTGAGAGTTAGGGTCGGATTTCATTCTAGGCAAATTAATTTCTTAAGAAATTTAGAATTCAAGGTGTTAACGCCCCAAAATCACCAAACGGCATTGGAGTAGTATGAAACTTGGCACACACGACTATCTAGGCACGAGAGACTTGTGGGAGAAGACGGGACTCAAATTAGGTTCTCGGTTTGAGAGTTAGAGCCGGATCTCACTCTTAAGAAACAAACTAATTTCTTAAGAAACTTAAAATTTGAGGTGTTAATGTCCAAAAATCACCAAATGGCGTCGAAATAGGATGAAACTTGGCACACACGATCGCCTGGGCACGAAAGACTTGTGGGAGAATACGGGACTCGAATCAGGTTCCCGGTTTGGGAGTTAGAGTCGGATTTCACTCTAAGCAAATTAGTTCCTTAAGAAACTTGAATTCGAGGTGTTGATGGCCCAAAATCACCAAACGACGTCGGAATAGCATGAAACTCGGCACACACGACCATCTAGGTACGAGAGACTTGTGGGAGAAGACGGGACTCGAATCGGGTTCCCAGTTTGGGAGTTAGTCAGATTTCTGTCTAGCCAAAATTATTTACTTAATTATCTTTGTAATTATATAGTAGTTAAATTTTTGTGTTTTTTTTTATAATTGTAATATTAACATATAATTATATTGTCATTAATCATTTTTTTTTTCAGATATTTTCCGAGTAGGAGTTTGCTTTTTATGGAGTGCGGGCGTGTGAAGAATGTGACTAATTTTTGTTTTTGTTACCCACGGAATAATCATGAGGAAAACTTTTGTTGATTTACGTTATTTTGAATTGTGAACAATATTATGTAGTTAAACATTATATTTGTATTATGCAACATTATGTAGTAGGGTTAGGGTTGGGCGTAGGGTTATTCGACCCGCACAACTCGCCCTACCCGACCCTAACCGCACATGTATGAACGGTTTCGCAAATACAATAGGGTAGGGTGCGGTTTGAAATATTTCAATTTTTCGGATTGCAGGCGGGTTGCGGGTTTGACCCACACCTGCCCACAACAACCCACACTAACTTTTTTTTTTTTATAATAAAAGCTGGACCGTTCATATTCCATCATCCATAGATATTTTTTGCCCCAAACAAAACCAATTGAGAACAAAACAAAACCCTAATCTCACTCTCATCTCACTGAGGGAGAGCTCTCTTCATCTTCTTATCTCATCTCTCTCGTTTTTCATCTGCGACGTTCGACCTTCGCAATGACTGTCTTTTTCTCTCCGGCAACTCTGAGGTAAGGCTCTCTCTGTCTCGCTCTCTCTCCCCGATCTGCGATTTGTATCTCTGTCTCTGTCTCACTCTCTCTCCCCGATCTGTGTTTTTTTTTAGGCAATCAGATCTGTCTCACCCTCTCTCGTTTTTCAGCTGCACAACTCGCACCGATCGACCTTCATCTTCTTATCTCTCTCTTCTCGATCTGTGTTTTTGTTTTTGACTGCAAGTTTGGGTCTATTAAAATAATAATAATAAATAAACAAGTCTTTGGTTTACATTTGCAAGTAAACTTTAATTTGAGTACCCGCATATACGCTTTGCTGTTTTTGTTTCAAAATTTCGTTCATAGTCTGATCTAAACAATTTGTTTGATTAGAAGTTCTACAATTTGTTCATGAGAAGTGTATATTGTGTTTGAATTTTCATTTGTTAAAAAAATAAGTAATAAAATTGTTGGGGGAAATAAAAAGTGAAAACAAATTTACTTCACAAAGTGTACAAAGAAACTGGATCTTAAGTTTTTTTCCATTTAAAAAATAAAATTTGATTTGTTAATAATTCGTAGGGTGTGTTTCACGCTAACTTTTCTTGGTGTAAGAAAAAGCTGATGAGTTCAAAATCTTATGAATCTCAAAGAAATCATATGATATTGCCAAAGTGGATTGAATTTGGTGGGTGGGTTTGTCTGTTTGAATTTTAATTGAATTTTAGAAGTGGATATTGAATCTGAAATTTGCTATTTTGGTTCTGCTATTCTGCTGCTATTATGTTATATTTAAATTGAGTCTGAATTTTTTTCTTCAAATTGTATCTGAATTTTTTTTTTGAATCTGAATTGAATTTGCTATTCTGCTGCAGCTATTCTGTTATTTTTTAAATTGAATTCTACTATTCTGTTACTCTGTTAATTACTTACTCTGGGTGGGTGTTATTGAATCTGAATTGCAATTGAATCTGAATTTTTTTTTGAAATTGAATCTGTTTTTTTTTTTTTTTATAATCTGAATTGAATCTGATTTTTTTTTATAATCTGAATTGAATCTGAATGAAATTGAATCTGAATTTTTTTTTAATATGAATTTTAATTCATTAATTATTAATGTTGGAGCATTTCAGAAAATTGAAAGAAAATTACACAAAATAAATATTTATAAAATGGGGAAAAAAAACTTAAAAATTAATTTTTAAAGGAAAATTTCCAAGCCGCAAACCGCCTGCAACCGCTCGCACATCCGCAAACCCTATCTGCACAAACCGCAAACCGCACTGTGGGTGGTTGCGGTTTGACATTTCCCCAAACCGCATACATGCGAGCGGGTCAAAATCGAACCGTAACTCGCACAAAACCGATCAGCGAACACCCCTAAGTAATGGTAAGATATTACAAGGCACCAACAAGACTTCTACAGAGGAAAGGCTAAGAGAAGGGTAAATCGGCATGATCATGATCAGAAGAAGACTTATGAGGCATAGGGGAAGGAGAAGATTTGCAATTAGTCATACTAGCTTTGATTAATATTTCAGTGGCATATTTCTTTTGAGATAGGAAATATCTTGAGGAAGAAGAACTAACAGAAATGTCCAAAAAATAGTTAAGAAGGCCCAATTCCTTCATGGAAAAAGTAGAATGCATTTGGGTAATTAAAGTGGAAATGTAAGAAGAGTCACTCCCTATAAGGAGGATATCATCAACATATATCAAAAGAATGGTGATAGAGTGAGGAGTCTTCTTAACAAACAAAGAAGAGTCACAATGAGTGGCCTTGAAACCATAAGTGAGAAGAAATGAAGAAAAAGTAGAAAACCAGGCTCTAGGAGCTTGTTTGAGCCCATACAAGGCTTTATTAAGCTTGCAGTTTGATGTCAAGATGTGATTTATCAACAAAACCAATAGGCTGATGCATGTAGACCTCCTTCTCTAAGACACTATGGAGAAAGGCATTGGAAATATCAAGTTGTTTGATAGTCCATTAAAAATGAATTGCCAAGCATAGGAGAATTTGAATAGTAGGCTGCTTTGCGACTGGACTGAAGGTCTCAAAATAATCAATACCATTAGTTTGGAGAAAGCCTTTGGCAACCAATCTGGCTTTATGCTAAGCAATAGTGCCATCAGAATTTTTTTTAAGGCAAAACACCCATTTGCAACCAATACTAGACACATTGAAGTGGATTACCATTATGTTCGAGAAAGAGTTGCTGCCAAGAAGCTGCATATTCATCACATTTCTTCTATGGATCAATTTGCTGATTTGTTCACCAAGCCTCTTTCATCGCCTTGATTTCTTTACCTTCAGACCAAGCTTTTAGGTCCTTCTCCCTTCAGCATGAGGGAGCTTGTTTGTCACGACCCAAACCCGGCCTTATGGGTTTAGCACCGTAACCGGCCAGTAATCCGAGATTACCGAAGGCCTGCAGGACAGTAGAACAGTAAAACAGAGTACAGGGCATGGCGAAAGCCAAAACAGTAAATAATCAATGTCCAATGAACTGTGACAGTCTGTATGCAAAAAGACTTTTCATACATATATACATAATCAGTACAGAACAGTATGCACAAAATATACAATCATTCAAACTAGGGACTCAATCCCTATATAACAGTACAGTAAACATTCGGTCTATACAAAACAGTAAGACAGTACAGAAGGGAGAATTGTAAAACACCCCTAAGCCTTAACACGATAGGCTCGGAACCTCGCAGTGAGGCACATAGACTGGCTTGACAAAACTGGAGTAACCCTGACGCTCCTAGCCGCGGTCTGGTGCCTGTACACCTACATATATATATGAGCAGTGAGCTAAAGCCCAGTGAATAACATAATGCGTAAAGAGGTTAAGAATGAATGTCCTTACAGTATGAAAACAGTTCAATTAAACAGTATTTCAGTTGTTCAGTCAGTACAGTCATATGTGGTACACCCAGTAGCATAACAGTACAGTAAGCAGTAGGTCTTAAAAGACCGAACAGTAATGATGACCATCAATCAGTAAACAGTGGTGGTTCCAACAAGGGAACCGACAGAGAATTCTGTCACAGTAACAGTAAACAGTAGGTGCTAAGGATGCCACAATACAGTTCAGAATATAGGACATACATTCATTCAGTTAACAGTAAATCAGTTCAGAAAACAGTACAGTTCAGTTGTTCAGAAGATAATTATTTGTGAACATATCTTTACACAATCGTTACTCACAGAGTTCGGGCTACAGTATGCTAGAGCGTGTCTCCCCAGTCGCCAACCTTACACAGTTAACAGACTGAACATACTAAGCTACACAGTTGGGGAAAGATAATAACTTAATCCCTAATTTGCCTCGGTGTGTTCTACATCTATATCCTCAACAAGATGTCTTAAACTAGGTCTAAGAATGCCTAGAATGGGATGAGGATGCAAAGATGTACTCAAAAAGCAGTTTCAGAAGTTTCAGAAAAACAGAGTCCCGCTCGAGCGCAGGTTTACCCGCTCGAGCAGACATGCAACAAAGGTACACGCTCGAGCGTCAACTCTCCCGCTCGAGCGTACTGTAAAAGTACTGGATGGGTGAAATCTCCGCTCGACGAACGCTCGACGCCCGCTCGATCGTGAGACACATGCCTCCGCTCGAGCGCCCAATCCTCTGCTCGAGCGGACTGTAAAACAGTGCAGAGAAAATACTGGATGCTCGAATCCCACGCTCGAGCGCCAATCCCCCGCTCGAGCGGAAGTGCAAAATCTTGAAAACCCAGATTGCACCACCAAGCTCAAAACCAAGTTCAAAAGCATCAAAACCAATCCTCTTGGGCCCATTTTCTGGAAAACATTTGTAAACACGTGGAATAACATGGTTCAAAGCTCAATTTGAGAAATCAAAGCCCAAGGGTGTTTAATTCAAACCCAATTTCAAACCATTTTCAAGAACAGGATGAACATGCAACATGCATGAATTTTAAACAACTTTGAAGCTCAATTTGATGCTCTAAGGAGCCAATTGATCCAAAAACAAGTTGAAAACATGGACCATTACAAAACTATGGACATGCATGTACCATTTTACCATGAACTCAACTCAAAATCTAACAATTCAAACATGCATGCATGAATTCTGCTCTATATCAACATATATGAACTAAAACATGACTTAGCTCTATAATTTAACATGGACCATGCAAGAATTAGCTCAAACACAAGAATGAGAAGATGAAATCCTTACCTAAGTCTTGAATTAGGAGACTAGGAGCTCGAATATGCAATCTATGCTTCAATTCTCTTAAATTTCCAAGCAAAACCAAGCAAAGTGAGATGAAATCTACCTCTCAAGTCTCTCTCTCTCACTAAGGTTGGCAAGGCAAGGAAGAAGGCTGAGGAAAACGTTTTGATCCAAGTGTGCAAGGCTCTAATAGTGACTAGGTAGTGGGCCACTCATGTGGCAAAAGTGTAAATAAGCCTAACACTTGCAATTCATTGATCTTTAATCTCATTTAATCATACCTAATCAGTTTTCAGATAATTATACCATAATTAAGGCCGCAACTTGGAAGGATTCACTGAGAGACATGTCTTCTGCGTGAATGTCATGCAGAATGAGTTGGAAATCTTGAGTTTGGCTGATCACTGTCACGACCCAAACCCGACCCTATGGGTCTAGCACCGTAACCGGCCAGTAATCCGAGATTACCGAAGGCCTGCAGAACAGTAATACAGTAAAACAGAGTACAGGGCCTGGCGGAAGCCAAAACAGTAAAGAAACAATATCCAATGAGCTGTGAGTCTGTATGCAAAAAGATTTTTCATACGTATATACATGAACAAT